GGGTCTCCAGGTGGGAGATCTCTCCCACCACAAAGCCAAGAGTGTGTAGTCCAGCTGTTTCTGAGAGAGGCAGGAACAATAACTTCCAGCTCTCACTTGTCTATCTACCCACCTGTGGCCCATGAACATGGGCCTCCGTCTTTTGTTTGTTTGCCTGTTTTTTTGCCTCTTTGCATTTGTTCTTTCCCATGGCTACAATCTTATGTGCTTCAAAAGGTAGGAATGGCTCGCCACCAGGGGCCCAGGAACCAATGTACATTCTGGGTTTTCCTAGAAACCGAGATGGGAGATGTGCCAGCACTGCCCTGAGGGAGTAACCTAAGGGACTCCCAAGACTTTGTGAGGACAGGACTTTACCAGCAGCTGTGCCATATTTAGAAGTGAACTTGATGGGGCAAAAGTGTTTTTTCAACTGCTTTAATCTTAAGGTTAATCTTCCCAGGAACTAATGTGATCAAAGGGAGAATTCAGAGAATAATTTGTACTTCTGTTTATGCTATGTTGTTTGTCCTTCATTTTCAAAGAGGACCATGACATCAGGAAGCTGATGCCATGACTTGCAAGTGAATTGGATTTAAGTGAGGGAGGGCTGTGCAAAGTCACTAGCCTCACTTTCTCCTCTGGAGCCATCTGGGTCCACTGGCAAGATACAGATCAGGATGACTAGAGGTAGCCCCTCTATGCTACATATTCTCAGTAAATATCCCTTTGTAAAAACTACTTCATGTTAATTGGCTAAATGATATTGGAAGACCAACCACTCGCAGTTAACATTGGGGAGAATAGGAATGTGAGCTCAAGTCAATAATATCAGAAACACATCCTAAACCCTCAAGGGTACCCCTAGAATCCTGAGAGGAGATATGTAGCTACCCTTATTGGGGTTCCAATTTATTTGTGGGAACTGAGATAAGGATGATTATTCCTCTATAGAGTATATAAGCAACATGTTCTTCAGAAACTCAAGACTAGAATATATAAATAGAGATCTGGCCTGTGATTTCACTCATATAAGGAACTCCCAAATGAGGGAGCTTCTCCACCAATGCAAGTCAGCACTTTCTCTACAACTTTTAGTCTTAGAGAACTGCCTAGAGCCCTGAGAGGTTAAGTGACTTGCCTAGAGCGTGGAACCAGTATGTGATAGATGGACTTGAACCCAGCTCTTTGTGGCTTTAAGACTAGCTTGACATCCACTACTCCACATTGACTTCTTCTACTTTACAACTTAGGGGCCCAAAAAAGGACACTTCAACTGGAAACAGGCAAATAATTAAGGCAAAACAGGGAGGAGGGCTTACATCATTTTCTAGATAGCTATTTCAATTTTCTCTTTTATTTTGTGAGAGTACACAAAACCTCATACTTTAGCTTTATAGAATTCAGCAATATTTTACTATAAGGCTAATTTCATAGCCTCCAACACATTCTGGTATGTCCTTAGAATCACTGGGCTGGATTTTTACCCCCCTGAACAGAGTACACATAGTTATAATTCACTAATGGAGGAGAAATGCTCACTGTGGGATTACAGGAAGGAAGAATGACTACTATAGCTTGACAGGAAGAGGATGGCCCTAAACTCAGCTCCCATTTTCCCATGACTCTGTCACTAAATCTATTTGGGCATGTATCCAAGAACAGAAAAAGAATAGGGGAGGGTGAAGCCCTCCCCCCAGCTCAAATGATCCTGCAAGTAGCTACCTAGCTCCTGGGAACAGCTATGTTCATGATTTTTAATACACAAAAAAGTCTTTGCTTAGTGTCCCCAGAGCCTGTTGGCAAGAGTGAGTGTTCAGAATACTAAGAAAAAGATGTTCTCCCTCAAAATAATTCCCTCATGAAAAACAAATACACAAAAAAGTTGAGTTGCATTATTTAGTGGAAAACATCCAATTAAGGTTTCTGAATTATTTTAAGGAAAAGTTTAAAAAAGTGTGCAACTACTGCCATCCAAGTAAAAGAGTAGATTTTGGGGAGCCCTGAAAGGACTTTACTTTACTCCTATCCCACTGCAAGGTGCTTCATGAAAGTACCTCTGTAAACTTCTTCCATGGGGGCTTAGAAGCTAAACTTAAAACCAATCAAATAACACAGATGCTAAAATCAGTTGTGGCTTTCATCTGGGGTCCCCCAACTTTCCACTATCTCTAAGGAAGAGGTGATCTGTACTCCAGAAAAACGCTATCCTCTCTGATCAAGCACAAATCAAAGAAAACTCTTGCTTCCATTGTAAAATGTTCCAAGTTCTCATTGAGATAGATCAAAGTCAGAGAAAGATAAACTGGGACTTAGTGGGCAGAATTGACCTCCAGCTCAGAGTCAAGATCTGGGTTCAAGTTTTACTTCTGATACATACTGGCTGTCTGACTTTGGGCAATCCATGTAACTTCTCTTTGTCCCGGGCAACTTCTCAAGACTACAAGTTGAAGAGCTGGAATCAATCTGCCTTCATAGCAAGTTTCCTCACTAGCAGTTTCCTATGTCAATTAAATCACAAGTCACATCCAAAAAATATATGTATATTTAACCAGGGGTTGCTCAGTGATTATCTGCTTGGACCTTGAAGAATGGTGAACCTATAGCTGAATGCTTAGCTTCTTCTGAAGGGAGAAGGGAGAGCAAGAGACATCTCTGAGATACTCAGGGAAAATATAAGCCTGCTAAGAGGTAGTAGCACTGAGAAAACCCAGGAAACAAAGGAAGAAGAATCATCACTTCAATGATACGTGGAGTCAGAAGAATGGCTGCCAGGCCCTGCCATAGCCTCCCAGTGGCTTAAATCATTGAATGACCATGTGATGGGAAAAGAAGGCTTAATAAATGGAAACAGTAGAAAGCCCCTTTCTGAGGCAATGGCCTTGGGCAACTCACCTCTCCAAGATTCCATTTGCACTTCAGGTTGAAAGGAATGCATTCTCCAAAGAGAGATCCTAAAACAGTGACTAGAGAGAAAGCCATACCTGAAGGTGTTAGGAACACGGTGGCCCATTTCCTAGTTTTCCTCTTCAGCCAAACACCATTATTGTTAGACACCTATCAGAAGTGGGAATTATCTAGTATTCACTGGCAGCAGTTTTTCAGGCATCTGAGAAGAGAATGTTCTCTATTGATGGACTTGTCAGTCACTTTCCCAAGCTATATTGAGGCTCCCCTTCCTTAAGGATAATTGGGGTGGAAAAGGAATGCTCTGAAAGAAGCCTAAACTTGTGTCTGGGAGGTCAGTAAGGCAGATATGGTCCACAAGACTTTTCTCAGAAGTCACACAAATGTTAATGAGGAAACCCAGTCACAAGGGAAACACTGCTTTTTTACTGTAGTCTGTCCCAGTTGTTTCCATGTCCAGAACATTTGTTCAATGAAAAAACCCTTTGTCTATCTGTATCTCCTCCTCCCCCAACTTGGTCTTGTACTCCTGGCCTCTTCACCCCTTTCACTGGAAGAGTAACATTTTGGGTATTTAAATGACTCCTGAAAATCCTTCCTAATGTTCCCATTGCCAATTCAATCAGCCTCCCCTTTCCATTCTCTAACCCAGCAAGTCAGAAACCAGCCCCACATTTGTGCCTCTCAGGGGAAACAGCCCCAAGAGGAAAGGGGCCAGAAGCAAAAATTTAAGAGAATGGATATTTTTAAAAGTAAAAAGGAAGTAATAGCAAGATTTCAATCCCAAGAGGCAGATGAATAGATCACAACACAAATACTATAGGAAAATAGAATGGAAGGGCAGTTTACCATCCCCAGCCTAAAATAACAAGAAAAGGAACAGATTCCCCACCCTAAATAATTCTTTGGGATCTACTTCATTGTGGCCCAGTGGAGAAAGTGCTAGGCCTAGAGTCAAGAAAACTTGAGTTCCCACCCAGCCTCAGAAACTAGCTGTGTGACCTTGGGCAGATCACTTAACCTTTGTCTCAGTTTCCTCATCTTTAAAACTGGGATAATAATAACACCTACCTCCTAGGCTTGTTGTAATAAATGAGATAATAATTGTAAAGTGCTTAGCACAGTGACTGGCATATAATAAATACTATATAAACATAGTTATTATCATTACTATTATAGGAATTGCATTTAATGTCAAAGAAGCCAAAAGACTTTTATAGGTATGTCCCTAGAAAAAGTGAAAGTTTGCTTTTAAAAAAAAAAAGCTTCTGATTCTATGTAGGGAGTCAAAAAAGGCTATTACATTCTCAAAAAAAAAAAGACTTAAGAGAAAGGGATAAGGAACAACAAATAAATGGATAAACATATCAACTTAATTCACATTGTAGAAAATTAGGACAGCCCTCAGGGCTTACAATGACAAGGGTAATTGATAAGTATTATCTTTTGATAGAAAAACAAGAAGTGAGAGATTCTAAGGTACTCAAGAAGGAAATGTTAATTCTGCAACAGAGAAAAGTAATTAAAATCATCCAGACAAAAAGCATTATTGAGATATAAAATGCTGCATACCTTTGATTCATACAATCATAAAATTAATAGGACAATAAATCTAGAGCTAGAAGGAACCTCAGAGACCATCTTGTTCAAAGTCCTCATTTTACCAACAGAGAAACTGGGGCCAGGAGAGATTAAGTGACCATCCAAAGTTACACAAGTAGTAAGTGGCAGAGGTACATCATCTGATTCCAGGACCAGTGTTCTTTCATTTGAGGCCTTCAAAATGCTTCAAGAATCTTCTAATGATCTAATATATCATAATTCCCTCAGCCTGGTACATTGTATTCCTGTATTAGGCCAACTTCATGAAGTCTTTCTATCACCTCAGCCCATTCCAGTTTTTTGAGTAAGAAGTTCAAGCCCAAATCAAATCACAAATTTCCCTTCTCAAATTCATACATAGGAAACTTCTCAAGCGGTGGGTGAATGACTAGAAATGGAAACAGGCAAGCATTGAGTGTATTCCTTTGGAGGATACTAGGAAGCTTCCTTTCTTGATTCACCCTAAATCTACTACTCACCAGGCATATCTCCTTTTCCTAAAGCAAACTTACCAATAGAAGTGCTCCTCCACCATCTTGGTCACGGCTCTGGACACTGCTCTTTCGTGGGGGCCAAGGTTTTTATTTAAGTTCACTCCAAGTTTCTCTTCCAAAAAGTCAATGATGAATTCTGTGCCAGACACTTTTTCCTGATTGTATTCAATCCAAGGCATTTTCCCTTGAGGGGAAAGCTTTCCATCAAAATAGTTCTAAGCAAGTGAATGAAAAAAGAAAATGAAAATATTAATAAAAACACTCTCAACTTGTAATTAAAAAAAAAAAAAAGCATGGAAACTGAGTGATATAGTGGAAAGAGGGCTGCATTTGGAGCCAGAGAGCCTAGGTTCAAATCTTAACTTTACCATTTATTATCTGGGTGTTCTTAGAAAGTCACTTAACTTCTCTAGGCCTCATCTCTAAAATTGTTGGACTAAGTGATCTCAAGGTCCCTTCCAGCTCTAAACTAATGCATCTTAAAGTCTATGATCTGTGAGATATTAACTAAGGGAGCCATTGTGCTAATAAGATAAATTAATTCAATGCGCAAGTCCTTTAAGAAAATGAAAGTATTACTCATATCTAAGTAATGAGGCAGCTTATCCTACAGAGGTAAAGAATGGACCTAATATAAGCCTAATTGTAAATAGTTACTAAGCAAGTTTGGTTGTTCATATTTAATTAATTAATTAAATTAATTTAATGATATTTAATATTCTATTTCTAATAAAAATGTTTAATTTAAAATAGCAACAACACAATAATGATGACTGATAGAGAGCGATATAAAGTTCATAAAGTACATTAGACATAGTATTTCATTTGAGCCTCACAACAACCCTGTGTTACTGAACCACTGGTATCTGTGACAGCCCTCACCCAGGGAAGCAGGTCACTCCAATGGATTGTATGACTTGCTCTGGAAGATCAAACCCAAGGGGAACACTTTTCCCTAAAAATGAAATAAAGACCAATTTTTTTTACAGAACCATCTTTTTACTTGGGAAAAAGAAAGAGAATTAATTTATTCCAATCCCATTAAATTCAGCAAACATTTAGTAAGTACCTACTATGTGCAGAACACTGTGATAGGTACTAAAGATGATAGATTTCAATAAAAAAAAACTGTCCTTGCCCTCTTGGAGCTTATATCTTATAGTGAAACATGAAAAAATAACCATAACACAAAGTAATATATAAATTATGAGAAATGCAGCCAAAAATAAAGAGGGAGCATTGAACAAAGAACTACACTTAAGATATATAGGGTGAGGTAAAAGTCACTGTTATGAAAAGATTTTCAAAGAAATTATAATACTGAGGTCATTAGGAGAAAAAATAAAATCATAGACATACTAGGTATGTTTGGTGTTCTAAGCAGCGCCTAAGCAATTCATACTGATCATGGTCGAAAAGAGGGATACTAATGCACTGATCCCAGCTTTGTCACTCACTGGCTGTGTGACCTTGGGCAAATCATTTCACCTCCCTGTGCCTCAGTTTCTTCATGTACAAATGTAATATCTGTAAAAGGAAGAAGTTAGACTAAATGATCTCAAAGGTCCTTTCCAACTTTGAGTCTATGATCCTTTGATAAATCTAGTAGAATACTGACTTTTACCTTACTTTGATGTCAAATAAGTGACTTGCCCAGGGTCACACAGCTAGTAATGTCTGAGGCCAAATTTGAACTCAAGTCTTCCTGACTCCAGGCTTGGCTCTCCATCCACTGTACCACCCAGCACCTCAGCTTGACTACATACATAGCCTAAATTAAATCTTCATTTTGTGTTGGGTCTATCCTTAGGTTGAAGGAAATCAATAAATATCTAAAACCTCTAGCAATCTGTCTAAAATCACCCTATCTTTCCACTAAGTAAGCAAAAAAAAAATTGCTTATCTCACAACAGGGAAGCTCAATGATAGGTTATTTTGTTTGTTCAGTGGGTGGATGGGGTGGTAAGGGATGGTGTTGGAAAGAGGATAGAAAGTTATTTGGAAAAAAATGATTCAAGGTTTTTAAAACACTGGTAATCTATTTTCATTGTCAGTTTACAAAAGTGACTGGCTGTCTTCAAAATGAAGTTTCAGGTACCACACCTACCTATCAAATAGAGCTCTCAGAACTTCTGTTTCAGCTATTAAACTAAGAACTATTAAACTGTCCATACTCTTTGACCCATCAATACAGATACTAGGTCTATACCCCAACGAGATCAAAGGAAAAGGACCCCTATGTACAAAAAATATTTATAGCAGCTCTTTTTGTGGTAGCAAAGAATTGGAAACTGAAAGAATACCCATCAATTGGGAAATGGCTAGACAAGCATAAGAATGTAATAGAATACTATTGTGCTGCAACAAATGATGAAAAGGATGGTTCCAAAGAAATCTGGGGAGATTTGTATGAACTGATGCAAAGTGAACAAAACAAGGAGAACAATTTATATGATGACAAAAATATCGTAAAGGACAAATAATCTGGAATGATTTAGGCACTCAGATCAACACAATGACCAACCACAATTCCAGAAGACTTGTAATGAAACATACTATGCACCTCCTGGTAGAGAAGAAGTGATGGACTCAGTATGCAGATGGAAGCTTTTTTTTTTTCTCAAAGTGCCAACGTGCAAATTTATTTTGCTTGACTATACACATTGTGATAGGTTTTGTTTTTCTTGGTTTCTCAATGGGAGGCAAGGGGAAGGAGGAAGAGGTAGGAGGGAGAAATGAAAACCTGAAAATAAAATAAATTTGAATTTACATAAAAAAGAAAACAAATAGCTATGGAATATCTTAGCCACAAGAGCTGCGAAAAATAGCCACAACGTTTGGTTTGCTTAACTATGCTTATTTGTTACAAGAATTGTATCTTTCTTTTTTTTTGTGGGGTAAAGGACAAGGAAGCTTTGAGGGGCAAGAAAGGAGCTAGTGATAGTGTTTCCAGAAGAAGAAAAGAAAGGACAAGCGTTGAAGTATTTTTTTAAAATGCTGAGAGGGGAAGGTAGGTGGCACCCTGGATAGAGTACCAGCTCTGAAGTCAGGAGGACCTGAGTTTGAGTTCAGTCTCCGATCAGACACTTCACACTTATTAGCTGTGTGACCCTGGACAAATCACTTAATCCCAACTGCCTCACCAAAGAAAATGAAAATAAAAATAAAAATAAAAATGCACAGAGGACAGAAGAAAGTTCATAAGGAAACAGACAAGCTGGACAGCCTGTAACTTATTGAATATATTAAATACTTATTTTTTTTTAAAGCAAAAGATTCATCGTTTCACATAGATGGTGTTCCAAAAGTCTTTAATAAGCTTTAATGCCTTAAAACTACACTGAGGCTTTTGGAACACCCCGTATAATCCTGTACACACACACACACACACACACACACACACACATGCGTGCGCTCATGCGTACACACACACACACACACACACACACATAGTATATAGGAATTTTCTCTTATTTTAGTGTTCATTACATTTAGAACAAAAAAAAAAATAGAAGTCACAAATGCACATGCTTTTGTGCCTGTGCTCATTAGCCACTATAAAAAGTGATTATTTAACATTTTAAATAATTTTTCTTAAATATATCAAAGAATTAATCCATCTACTATTACAGATGCATTTGAAGTCAGATTTGTCCACAGAGGACAATTTCAGGCCTAAAGATCACTCAGGGAGAAGAAACAGAGATCTGTTAGAGAGAAATCCTCTGGTCATAATCTGATCAAGTTCACATTTTCCCTTCAATCTCTCTATAAAAGAGCAATGCCTTCATGTTTCAATGCATTGTTGTCGGTAAACAATAAAAATATTCAAGAAAGCACAGAAGAAAGAATTAGTGTTGAAGAAGAAATCATTAAAAGTATATTAAAAGTATTTCATCTCTGGACCTTAGCTTCTTCTTTTGTCAAATGAAAGGATTGCCCAACTGATCTCCAAGATCTCTTCCAGTTATAAATTCTACGTTATTTTGACCATCTTGTTCCTCGAAAAAACTGATAGGGGACCAAGATCTTAAGACTCCCTGCTTGGTATGTCAGCTTCTTGATAGACCATATTGCTCAAAACATCTTTATCTAAATTTTTATCACATTAAATTCAGTGTCCAATATTTTGAGGTTAAAAAATAGCTCACATCGGGGAGAGCTAGGTGGCACAGTGGATAGAGCACCGGCCCTGGATTCAGGAGGACCTGAGTTCAAATCTGGCCTCAGACACATAACACTTAATAGCTGTGTGACCCTGGGCAAGTCACTTAAACCCCATTGCCCATTAAAAGAAAAAAAAGATAACACTTAAGTTGACTGATGGCACTAAATATTTATACAAATCTTAAAGGGAAAAAAGACTTGAAAAGTGAAAGACATGATCTTAGGAACAAGACATTAGTCTTGCCAACAATCCCTCTAGATCTATTCCAAAAGTATTTGAAAGCTTCCCAACATAAAAGACTAGAGTAGAGAAGGGGGTAGAGAGCTAGAAATATGAATAAAAAGACTCCAGTATTTATCCCCAGCCTCAAAAATATGATGGGAAGAGAGGTGGGTGGGAGAGAAAGAACATGTCCTATACTCTAAAGCAGAGAAGGGAAGGGGTAAATTGCTCTTTGGCTAAGAATAAGGTCTGAGAGAATTTGATTGAGAAAGTTGATGAGTGGGAGAGGAGAGCGGAGCCAAGATGGTGGAGTAAAGGTAGGAACTCACTTGAGCTTTCCCCCAAACCCGTTCAAATACCTTTAAAAATTACTCTAAACAAATTCTAGAGCAGCAAAACCCACAAAAATACAGAGTGAAACAAATTTCCAGCTCAAGACAACCTGGAAGGTCAACAAGAAAGGTCCGTTGCACCAGGCTGAGAGAGGAGCACAGTCCAGCACAGGCACTGGCAGCAGGGGCAGTTTCCAGACTTCTCAGCCCACAAACGCCAAAGACAACTTAGAAGGTCAGAAGACTGCTCACCTCCTGAAAGAGATCCCAAAATGAAAATTGGGAATATTACCCTATGGTTCTAGAATATCAGGGCAGTTTTCCTTGATAATTTCTTGAAAGGTAATATTCCCAAAATGAAAACTCCCAGGAACATTACAGCCAAATTCCAGAGTTCCCAGGTCAAAGAGAAAATATGGCAAGCAGCCAGAAAGAAACAATTCAAGTATTGTGGAACCACAATCAGGATAGCACAAGATTTAGCAGCTTTTAC